TTATTTTATATAATTTAACTATGATTTATGATATGATATTAGTTTAAAATGCATTTGATGACTCAAACAAAGCTGCCGTTGAGCAAATTCGTACCTATACTTCCCTACCCATACTTCAGAATATTTATCATAACTTTTGATGGAATGAACTGATTTTAATGAAATAAAGACTAAATGTAACCCGAAGATACACTTTATAATTTCCTTAACAATTCGTATGATATAAATTAGTACTTTATACGTGATACGTTAACAAACAAACAGACAGACAGACAGACAGACAGAAAATTCTAAAAATGGTAGAAATGTATTTAATTACTTATTTTTAGTACCCCTCAATCACTTTTATTACAAAAATATAAAATGTACAGACATCTGCTATTTACAGTTTTATTATATGTATAGATTATAAATTTAAAAAAAAAATTAAGTTATTTAACCCGGCGTGAGTACGGTAGAAAAGGAGTAACAACTTCTATATGGTGGGTCAAAATGACCCGAATATTGTAATGTATGTAATTTCTACATTTTAAGGAAATTTAATGGATTTTTAAATTAGGTGGGATGAATGATTATTATACTATAAAAATTTGGTGAAAAAAAAAATTGCATTATATTTAGAATTTTTATGTTTTTTCCAAGGCTATAAAAATCTTTTACAAAAAACTTAAACTTTTTAATCTTATCATGAAATAAACAAAAGTCTAACTTTTTGATATTTATTTGTTATTTTTAATAAAGTCTTATGTTTGATCTTTGAAAATCTAAACTAAAAGTTACATTGAAGTCTTAAAATTAGTCACTGTCAGCGTGTAAATCAGCAGATACACTGCAGTAAAAATTATGTGCTCTGGGCAAATAATCTTGTTGCAGATGCGGCAGGTGTGGGTAGTTTTCCTATCTTTTTTGGCAAGACATATTTGACACCGTTTCCTTACAGCTGGAATTTTTGGCAGGTGGCTCTTTCAACGGTTCTCCTGTAAATTCCCTGATTCTTTTGCGCATCTCTCTGGGTAAACGTAATAAGTCTTTGAGAGTTCTCAAGTGATTCTTCAGAAGTGCAAGTCCTAAATTTTTTTAAAATTTGCGTCACTTTATACCTGTAAAATTATTAGTTTTGTGTACTACATGGGCGTTGATAGCGGTCATATTCAAAACTCCATAAAAAATGGTCAGATCTGATGCTTCTTGTTTAATGTCAATTTGTTCAATGCGCTCACTAATGTAGTCTTCTTCTTCATTTTCTGACGAGTAATCGCCTTCATTCGAGTCACTTTCTTCCAAGAATGCCAAAATTTGCTGCCTTTTACGTTCTTCTTGGTCCATTTTATAAAATATTCAACCTAAATGTAATAAGAAAAACATATAAATATACAATAAACTAAAAAAAGTAATGCAGGTACATAAAAAAATAAACTTAATAACCAAATATAAAATGAAAAAGTCGTGTAGTGGCGGTCAAGAATATCCACTACACCTTATCCCCCCGTGGGTGTCGTAAAAGGCGACAAAGGGAAACAGGCAGGAGATGGGCAGCAGTATCTTTCTGATAATAGCCAACATTCCAATAAAAAAAACTGCGGTTGCCAACCCGCTCGCCAAGCGTGGCAACTATGGCAAATACCCCCCAATGATTAAAGCAACAAACAGACGGCCCCCGGTCCCCGGCGGCCCCGCTATTCCTGGCTACGGTGGCGACCATGGTAACGGCGGGGCAGGGGGTGCTAAGAATCTCCGGTGGAGGTTCGGTTGCCACCTTAGACGACTCGACCTGGCAACGTATAACGCACGCACACTGAGGACTGACGAGAAGATCGTGGAGCTGGAAGAAGAGATAGACAAGTTGCGCTGGCATATTATAGGATTATCCGAAGTCCGAAGAGAGGGGGAGGATACGGTAATCCTCGAATCCGGCAACTTGCTCTATCACCGGGAGGGCGACCATCTGTCCCAAGGAGGTGTCGGATTTATCGTCCACAAATCTCTCGTTAACAACGTTGTAAAGATCGGGAGTGTGTCGACGAGGGTTTCGTACCTTATACTCAGAATCACCAAACGGTATTCGCTGAAGGTCATACAGGTTTACGCGCCAACTTCGGCACACCCCGATGTGAAGGTGGAGGAAATGTATGAGGATATCTCGGTGTTAAGGGGAGACTTCAATGCAAAACTAGGCACAAGAGAGAACAGTGAGCTGAAAGTAGGGAAATTTGGAATAGGACAACGGAACCCAAGGGGCCAGCAGCTGGTCGACTTCATGGAGAAAGAGGGACTCTTTATGATGAACTCTTTCTTCCAGAAGTGGCCCCACAGGAAGTGGACCTGGTCGAGCCCCGACGGTTCGACGAAAAATGAGATTGACTTCATTATGACGACCAGACAACAACTGTTCAGTGATGTTTCCGTGATCGCGAGGGTGAAAACTGGTAGCGATCACCGAATGGTTAAAGGCACACTGAACCTAAACGTTAAGTTGGAGAGGTCTCGTCTAATGAAGTCAACGCTCCGTCCCCCTCGTGCTCTGTTCCAAATTCCCGAAACCTTTCAGCTCGAGTTACAAAACCGTTTTCAGTGCCTAAAAGACTGCAATGAAGTGGACGATATGAATGACAAGCTCGTGGAAACTGTCCATGCGGTCGGAGCTAAGTTCTGCAAGACCAGCCACAGAAGAACACAAAAATTCTCCGATCACACTCTTAATCTCATGGCTGTTAGACGGGAGATGAAGCTACATTCTTCAACAGACTTGACAGCATACAGGCATCTGAACAGACAGATCTCCAAATGCATGCGGCGGGACTTACGCAACTTCAATACAGCTCGTATTGAAGAAGCGATCGAGCGGAACCAAGGCTCCAAAGTCTTTGCCAGAGATCTGTCTGCCAGAAAGAGCCAACTGTCAAAGCTGAAGACAGAATGTGGCAGCATCGTTTCCGGGACACCTGAGATTTTGAGTAAGATTGAGAGGTTCTATGGGCAGCTGTACACGTCATCGTTGGAGCCATACGCAAGTGTGAGTAACGATCCAAGAGCGAATCTCATCCGACACTATTCCGAAGATATCCCGGACGTCAGTCTGAGCGAGATTAGAATGGCTCTCCAGCACCTTAAAAACGGTAAAGCCCCAGGCGAGGATGGAATTACAGCGGAGCTTCTGAAAGCGGGTGGAAGACCGGTACTTGAAGTACTTCAGAAGCTCTTTAATTCCGTCCTCCATGGTGGCATTACACCGGAGGCGTGGAGCAGAAGTGCGGTGGTCTTGTTCTTCAAGAAAGGTGACAACGCTCTCTTGAAGAACTACAGACCGATTTCCCTTCTGAGCCGCGTCTACGTGCTGTTTTCGAGAGTCATTACGAATCGTCTCGCGCGCAGATTTGACGACTTCCAGCCTCCCGAACAAGCCGATTTCCGAAAGGTCTTTAGCACCATAGACCACATACATACCTTCGGCAAATTGTACAGAAGTCCGAAGAGTACAATTTGCCACTATGTCTGGCGTATGTAGACTATGAGAAAGCCTTCGATTCCGTCGAAATTTGGGCGGTGCTGCAGTCCCTTCAGCGGTGCCAAGTTGACTGTCGGTATATCGAAGTGTTGAAGTGTTTGTACAGTAGAGCTACGATGGATATCCGAGTACATAACCAGAGTTACCTATCCAACTGCAGAGGTGTAAGATAGGGTGACGTTATATCCTCGAAACTCTTCACCGCTGCATTGGAAGACGTTTTCAAGCTTCTGGACTGGAAAGGATACGGTATTAACATCAATGGCGAGTACTTCACTCACCTTCGATTTGCCGATGATATAGTCCTTATGGCAGAATCGCTGGAGGACCTAAGCACTATGCTCAATGACCTCAATAGTGTCTCCCAACACATAGGTCTTAAGATGAACATGGACAAAACAAATATTATGTTTAATGTCCATGTCACACCTATGCCGGTAGTTGTTGGGAGCACTAAGCTCGAAGTTGTTGACGGGTATGTTTACCTGGGACAAATAGTCCGACTAGGTAAGTCCAACTTCGACCGAGAGGTCAATCGACGGATTCAACTCGGCTGGGCAGCGTTCGGGAAGCTACAACACATTTTCTCGTCAGACATACCTCAAAACCTTAAAACGAAATTGTACAACCAGTGCGTGTTGCCAGTGATGACTTACGGAACTGAGACGTGGTCCTTCACAGCTGGCCGTATGAGGAAGCTCAAGGTCGCTCAGCGAGCTATGGAGGGGGCTATGCTCGGAGTTTCTCTGCGTGATAAACTTAGAAATGAGGATATCCGCAGTAGAACTAGAGTGACCGACATAGCCGAACGGATTAGTAAGCTGAAGTCGCAGTGGGCCGGCCATATAGCTCGAAGAACCGACAACCGATGGGGAAGAAAGGTTCTCGAGTGGCAGCCTCGTACCGGTAGGCGAAGTGTAGGGCGACCCCCCACGAGATGGAGTGACGACCTGTTAAGGCATGCAGGAAGTCGATTGATGCAGGTGGCTCAGGACCGTGCTTTGTGGCATTCCTTGGGGGAGGCCTATGTTCAGCAGTGGACTTATGAAAGGCTGTAATGATGATGATGAAATGAAAATATATGGCATAAAATAGTTACACAAACTGTATAGATAGGTCATATTTACCTTTTCTGTATTGACGACGTCTAATTCCCAGTGTAAGTGCAATTCTACTGAATAGACATAAAAAACAAAAGGGGTAGGGTGTTAGCTCCAGCTACTGAGAAGCATGGTAATGTCGCACAATATTTTTTAAAAATACCCGCGTATAAAAACATAATGGGTCATTATGACCCAACCTGACAGTCCCCGGGTTAAAACTAGTTAGTGGTGTCATAAAAATCTTCCTTTTCGCGCACTTAATGCGTGTGCCTATCTTTAATATAATGACATAAAAATGTACTCGAAACTATATTAGTTTTGAGTAGGTGTTCAAAAGAATAATAAAGAACGGATTTGTTATAAAACAAAATATTAAATAAAATTAATATTACCTTAATTGACCACGTATCAACGTATGGAAATATCTAAAGGCAGCTGTCGCGAACTCTTTGAGCACTGCTGCGTTTACTTTTGGATTGTAATCATTAACATAACCCTTTGCGTTTGGATATATAAGTTTATTCTTTACCATATTTTCCTCACCTTAAAAATACATGTTAAAATGTTAAATGTATTATTTTTGTTATTAATGTATATATAGTCATAATATTAAGAATGGTTGTACTTTTCATGCATACATATTTACTAACCTAGCAATATTGGCAGGAACTCATAGTAATGAATATATAGATTAATTGCTATATTAATGCGCCTTGCTATTAGGTAAATCTTTTCGTCGTCCCAATGTTTATTTATATCGGACAATGCATCAGCAATACGATTATGTTCTTTAAGCAAAATCACTTGTAGAACAGTTAGTTGAGGATTTTGATTTACTCTTGCATCACCTGTAAACAAATATTTCGGTTAAGCAAACTGCAAAATAAGTATTATGTTTCAAATGTTATTTCTTTCAAGAATTAAAGAGTTTAAAGATAATACAAAAATGAAGATCTAAAAAGCATGTAAAATTGTTGCTCAACGTAACGTTCACTTCATTTTAGCAATTAAGTGATAAGTTATAACTAGAAGCTACGGTACCAGCTACGTAGCATGGTTCATCAGCGGTGGTTGCTCCGGAACAGATCTGCAGTACATTAGCCGCCTGAGGTGGCCACGTTCCGCCATTACGTTTAATTACTTTTAAGCGGCCCCCTCGACCTTCACGCAATGAGTCAGCTTGTTTCTTACTATTACCATATGTCAAAGAGAGGTCCAGGTAGGAGGTGACTTCATTTATCTGAAAGAAAAGAATTGGGTAAAGAAATGATCAGTTAAAAAGATTCAAAATACTTTTTAATCAAAATGTTCACTTTATGTTCTGGTTTAGATATAAATAAAAAAACTTTGATAGGTATATTCTAAACGAGATAACCTATTCATCTGTAAGTAACAACTATCGGCATTTTTAAACATATAAATGTGCGCAAGTGTGTGTGTGTGTGTGCGCGTGTAAACAAAAATTAACATCTCAATTAATTTTTCTTACACTTTTCATGCGGTTGCCGCCATAATCAGAAACCAAAAAATGTGCAAAACTTTTGGCCACAAAAAGAAGTTTAAAGTTTTTAAAAAGTTACCTCGCGTACATCCGCTCGATAAAATAAAATCTTCCCTAGTTCTCTGCGGCTGACCGCTAAGAAGCGGTTCTTAGCGGTCAGCCACCGCACAGTCTAAATCACCTGAAGATACCTCGTGTAGAGGCGAAACACGAGTCGTATTTTCGTCAGTGGTCTGTCTTTCCTAGTGTTGTTGGAAGTAGTGGTGCTGGCATTAGTGGTGACGAGGATAGTCCACGCAATTGAGGGAGGGTGGGAGGTGCTCTTCAAACTAGTAAAGACACATCATTTTAATTTATCGAGCGGATGTACGCGAGGTAACTTTTTAAAAACTTTAATGTAATGGATTTCCGCAAAGTAACGCCTGATTCTAGTAATTATCAGAAAAATAAGGATTATTCTTGTGCACTTTTGTTCTTTCACATTGTTTGTCATTTTTAAAACTTAGTTTAAAAAAAATCTGTATTACTGTGATTACTCAGCCGTGATTACCGTGATTACTCAGTTCGCGTTTTAATAGTTGAGGTAAAGTTTGTTGTGTAAAATAAACTACTCAATAGAATAGTAAAATAGACGAAGAAGAGTCAGTAGCCTAATGGCAGGATGCGGACCGCGAACTCGAAAGGTCGTGGGTTCGAATCCGCCATTCGACTACCGTCGGGAACCACTTCTAACACAAGCTTAAAATGCTTACGATTTTTTTTAAATACTAGTAATGTTTAATAACATTACTAGTATTTAAAAAAAAGAGTCAAAATTATACACATTGGATAACAAATAGAAAAAACATCAATTTATTCATCATAAGTGTATAAGATAAGAAGGATATAATATAGTTCCTCAGTTAATGAAACAGAAAATTTTTATTTTAAAAAGCAGATTTGTTTTATTTTCTTCTTAGTGCTGAGCAGACACACAGATTTTATTAACCAGTCTTGACGATTTGTAAGTAAGCTAACGTAAGTAATTTCTCTAAGTCACACTATGCCGGATTCGAAAGCCGTCGCTCTATGTTTTACAGATTCGCAATTTATATTTAAATGTTTGTAACCACTGACAGAAAGCACAAAGGTCATTGCACGAAATTTTTCGTGCTCGGCTACCGGGCTATAGCTGAAATTTTTTATACCAGTACACTAAGGGCACATAGGCACTACGAGGTTAACCGTAATGCGGCTAGCTGTCCGGCTAACCGCAGGATGCGGTTGCGAATGCAGCCAACATTTTTCACATTTGCAACCGCAGCCTACGGTTGAAGAACCGTTGCGATTTACGGTCATATGGTAACCGCATAGTGCGTATGATCCTAATCCATAAATGCGATTTGAAGTCTATCAAACGATTTGTCAGGCTTACTACGACATTTGAAATCTTAAAAATTCATTGAAAGGAAATGTTCCCGACACAGATCCATTTTTCAATTAGACATGTTAAAAAAGTGATATGAAATTTGAAAATGGAATATCCATATTTTTACTTGAAAATAACCGTAGTGTATCTGTAGTCTACTTGAGATCTATATAATAAATACCGGAAAAGAGGGCGATTTTGATGAAGTGCAATCAATATCCTTTGTTGAAACAGTTCTCACAAATTCCATACATTCCCTTCCATCTGCTTTGTTGACAAAATCGTTCTCAGGAATGATTATAGGCGCGCAGAAAGGGTTATTACCAGATTCGGATGTCAGTTGGCCTTCGCTATCACAGCATGTCACAGGATTATTATCTAAAACATATTTTGTTCATATTACTTAAATAAAGTCAAGTTGTCAAGTTAAACTATTTTAACAAGTATAATTAAAATATAACTTGGAAATGCGAATTGACTTAATAATTGGCAACAACTTTTTAAGCAAGTGTTGTAACATTGGTCACCTGTCTCTATGCTATTAATAGATTTTACGAAATATGAAGGATATTGTCATTTTTAATGACCACGATGCAATGTTTTATCTGTTTTAAATTTTCGCTATAAAAATAATTTGGGCAATTTTGTATTTTTTGGACGATTAAAAAATTTTACTCACCCTGAAAGCAATCAGTGCAAGTAATATTTTTACTGGTCGTGCCGACCCGTTTACGTGACGCAACAAAAATTTAACTAGAGCATCGCTAAAATGCTAATTAAGAATAATAAATGCTATATGAATATAAAAGTGTTTAGTTTCTAAAATAGTACCACTTGTTATTTGGTAAGAATATACCAGTAAATTTAGAAAATAAATAAAATAAAACTTACTGATAAGTGTAGTTCTACCACTGAAAGACATGTCGTGGGTAATTATTTGACCCCACTGCATTGTATTGAGGTTCCATTTATAATCAATAATATTTTTGTCTGGAAAAACAAGTAGACTTATCGCACGGGGATTTGGTAATTGTTCATTATTTGATGTTTCAGGAAATTTGTGAACACCTGCAATTTTCAAAATTTATTACCTAAAAATGTTCGTTGGTAATGTTAGCAAGAGTTATTAATATATTATACAAGTGATTCGCCCCAGCTTTGCTTTCGTAATGTTTTTTGATTTGGCTTTATTTAGGTTAAAGATAATCAAACTAATTAATTTACCAGTAGTATTTGTTTTTTTTTTAGAAAACGTTAAAGTTTTCTGGATAAAATATAGATTATATCAGGCATGGGGTTGCTATCTGTTCTTGAAGTTTCATCAGAATCGGTTCAGCTATTTTGAATATTTGCCTGGACAGACTGACAGACAGACCGACAGACAGAAAGACAGTTTATGTCTTTAAAGCACGCAAATAACCCCATGAGTTTAATGGCAGGTAGTTATTTCAATATTAAAGACATACATTTGAATTTTATATAATTATATGATTAAATCTGGGAGAAAAACCGGCGACGAGGTTCGCCACCCGTCACGTCCTATCTCCCGGGGGGGCGAAAAGTGGATTGCGGAGGCCCGTCTGGCTACGCTGAATGTATGTGGAGCAATGAATGATAAGATGGATGAAGTATGCAAAATGATGAATGATAGAGGAATAGATGTGTTATGTGTGAACGAGACGAAACGAAAGGGAAGAGATGTCACTCTACATGGCATGTATACCGCTTACTGGTCTGGAGTAGACGAGACCGAGAGGGCATGCCAGGGAGTCGGTGTCATCCTTTCAGAAAGAATGGGTCAATGTGTGAAAGAATATGAATGTTTTAGCCCAAGGCTGCTATGGATACGAATGAAAGTGGGCTTAAAGAAGTTGTTTGTGCTAGGGGTGTACGCTCCAGATATGTCTAAGCCCACTTATATCCGAGAGCAGTTTTGGGACATGATAAGGCTGGTGTTGATGAAATGTAAGGAAAATGAAAATATTATTATGTTAGGAGATTTTAATGGAAGGGTTGGGGTGAAGAGGTCTGGTTATGAAAGGATATTAGGAACGTTTAGCGATGAAAGAATAAATGAGAATGGTGAATACCTCCTCACCGTATGTGTGGAAAAGAATCTTTTTGTGGCGAACACTTTCTTTCGCCATAAGAGGATTCACATGTATACATGGGAAAGAGGGGATGATAGAAGCATGATAGATTTTATAATTGTGGATGAAAGAATGAGGAGCGCAGTGGTAGATACAAGGGTTTACCGGGGGTCCAACGTAGGGACGGATCATTACTTGATCTTATGCCGAATTAATGGTCTATTCAGACGTTGGCGGCATCGGACATCTGTGTCTACCACTGCGTTACAGCGTATAAGAATAGAGAGGTTACAACATGAAGGTGTGAAAGAGAAATATAAATGCAGACTGAGGGAAAATATAAGTGGGTTGAATGAATTATGTATGAAAGATTTAGAATTGAAGAATGTATGGAATAATATTAAGAAAGTTTTGGTGGATGCAGCCACCGAAGTATGTAGTGTAAGTAAGAGAACGAATGAAAGGAAAAGTAATACGTTGTGGTGGGATGATGACGTACGGATGGAAGTTGAAGCAAAGAAGAGAGCATGGCTAGATTTACTAGCAACTAAAGCTGGTAATTCTGGCGGTATGAATTATGAGATTGAAAGAAAAAAGGCAGACTTTAGACGTATAAATAAGAGAGTAAAAGAAGTTGTTGAAAGGAAAAAGCAAGAAAGGATAGATAAGAATGATAGAAGGATATCTGATAACTTCCAGGCAAATATTAAAATGTTCTGGAAGAACTGCCAGGGGAAATTCAAAACAGCCTAGAATGAATGCTATACGAGACGAGAATGGCTGCATGCTGAATGATGAAGTTTCGAATTTAAAGAGATGGAAGGAATACTTTGAAAGCGTGTTTAAGAGTTAAGATTCGTCTGAAATAAGTGAAATAGAAATTCCGGAAGAAGTGGAGAGAAGTAGGGAGATAAGTGTAGATGAAATAATGAAAGCAATGAAAATCATGAAAGCAGGTAAGGCAGCCGGATATGATAGAGTATCACTCGAAATGCTAAGGGCTGGTGAGGGGGTGGTTGGAGGCCTGCTGTACACCTTGTTTAATTTATGTTGGGAACTGAAGCGGGTACCGGTAGACTGGTGCAAAGCCGTTATAGTCCCAATATATAAGGGAAAGGGGTCGCAGCAGGACTGTAAAAACTACCGTGGTATCAGCTTGCTTAGCATTGTGGGTAAACTGTATGCTAAGGTGTTAATTGAAAAAGTTATGGAAGAAACTGATGGAAAAATTTGGGATGTGCAAGCTGGATTTAGAAAGGGGATGGGGTGTACGGATCAAGTCTTTTCCATGCGCATGATAGCGGAGAAGTTTTTGGCTAAAAATCAGAAAGTTTTTTGTGCGTTCATGGACTTGGAAAAGGCTTATGACAGAGTGGACAGGAATGTGTTATGGTAAACACTGAACTCATTTGGGTTGAGCGCTGGCTTGATACAGGCATTAAGGTCTCTTTACAGGAACTCTAGTGCTTGTGTCAGGATCAACGGGGTCTACTCGGACTGGTTTGGCATTCATAAAGGTGTCAGACAGGGATGTGTGGCTTCCCCTTGGCTGTTTAACCTATTTATGGACAGTTGTTTGCAAACTTTGAAAGTTGAAGAATGTGGGTTGAGAATGGACGAGCCAACCGTCAAATGCCTTTTGTACGCCGATGATCAAGTCATATTTGCATCGTCGGCGGCCGAGTTGCAAATGATGGTTACTTTAATGAATTGGTCATTGAAAGAAAGGGGTATGAAAGTGAACGCAAGTAAGACGAAAGTGATGGTTTTTGAAAGAGAAGAAAGTAAAACTTTATGTGAAATAAGAATAGAAGGGGAGTTGATTGAGCAAGTGGATGAGTTTGTGTATTTGGGATGTTTATTTAGCAGGGATGGTACATATGATAAGGATATAGAACGACGAGTGAACGCAGGAAATAGAGTGAATGGGGCTCTACATGCTATTATGAGGAGTCAAAATGTGTCAACTAAGGCACGTATGGCAATTCATAATGCTGTGTTAGTCCCTACTTAAATGTATGGTAGTGAAAGTTGGGTCTGGCAGAAGAAGCATGAGAGTAGAATAAATGTTGTAGAAATGCGTTCCTTAAGGAGTATGCTAGGGCTGAATCTTAATGACAGGGTGAAAAATAGTGTGATAAGAGAAAAGTGTGCTTTTCAAGATGACGTTGTGACAAGGATTAAGAAAGGAATGCTTCGGTGGCTTGGTCATGTAGAAAGAATGAACGAGGAAAGAGTGACTAAGCAAATTTATGTTGCAGAAGTGAACGGCAGGGTCGGGAAGGGACGCCCTAGACGAAGGTTTATCGACCAAATCGGCGATACATTAAAAATGGGCCAGATTAGGAGTACCCTTAACCGACGAGCGTGTATGCGTAGATATATGGATGTAAAAGAGGCGAGAGAGGTCTATCAGGATCGCGCCAAATGGAAGTCCGTAGTCTCTGCCTACCCCTCTGGGTGACAGGCGTGAGTGTTTATGTATGTATGTAAACCCGTAAATATTAATTCAGTAGAAATTTCGCATATCGTAAGAAAAAAATAGTGTAATAAATTAATATTTTTTTTAACTTACCATCTGCATAGCTATTATTGACTAATTCCGCATAGGGTTCTTTCGCTGCACCCCAAAAAGGGTTTTCTAAATTATTACATGTACCATCAAAAGACCTATATCGGTCTTTTTTACAAGTAATTGGAGTAGATCGACATGACAGTTTCTTTGTTTTTGAATCGTTTTTGGTTTCTAGTTCATGTGGCGTTATTGTGGAGATTGTAGGACTGCAACATCGAGAGTTTTCACTTATTAACGATTTACTATATAAAAAAATAACTTTAATGTAAATTACCTTTCTGTGAATTTGATACATTTAAAGTAATCCATTAATGGCTCGAAATAGATTTGTGAAGAATCAAAAATAGGTGACGTCTCCGAAAGTACATAATGGGCTAGTATGCTTAAAGTGCAACAAAACGTCCACCAGAACATTGCACCTGTAAAATGAAACGATAATATAAAATATTTAGTGAAACTAATTTTTACGGATTTTATCGCGTTTAATTTAACTTTTGTAATTTAAGATTGTATGGGTTACCGAAAATACACAAACCAAACGCTCCACTACGTCCCATAGCAAGCCAGATTGACTCACCAACTTATAAGTTGGCTCAACACTTGACAAAAATATTGTCACCACTGAGAGGGCACACTAAAGGATTCCTACCATTCAATGACGTTCGAGCATGTATTAAGTCGGGATAACAAATATTCGCCGCGAAGATTTATATAATAAATAAATTAGCCAAAATTGACATAGATTCTACAAAAAATTCTGCAAAAATATGACTATAATATAATGAAGTAGTTAATATCGTTAAAACAATTTCTATTCATTGATGTAGTCAAGCCAATACAATAATTAATTACAATAATTAAATAAAGCTGTTTCTAATTTAAACACCTATAAAATATTTAAGTAAAAACAGGAAAAGAAAACGTAATTTGAAGACTACAGAATAATACAACCACTAACAATAAAACTACTCCTGCAATGTTAGAAAATGATTCAAGAGCTAGCATTTGAACGATGCCTTGCTCGTGGTTGCGCCCACAATGCTTGGTAATTCGTCCCATTGTTTTACCGCGTGAGTATTTTATTACCCAAAAATGTTTTTAGAAGATGAGGTAAACGAGCATGCAGCTCACTTGATAGTAAGTGACTACCGCCGCCCATGAACAACTGCAACATCAGGGTAATTGCAGATGCGTTGCCGGCCTTTTAGAAAGGAGTAAGCTCTTTTCTTGAAGGTCTCTAAGTCGTACCGATCCGGAAAAATTGTCGGTGGTAATTCCACAAAGAGGTCGTAATCAAGCCAATCAGATAGAACTCATTTGTCGACGATTTGAGCCACTCTGTAGTCAAGTGGAAGGAGCTGACACTGGGATGACCCGGCCCAGAGATGAGAACTGCATTCCTTGTGAGGCAGAATATGCGCCTTGTAAAGTTAGCGGTGTGCCGGCATGTAATACTGTCCCGCTCTGAAGATCACGCCAAGGTAGTTAGAGGCCAATTTAGCCTTCCCTTCCAAGTGACCACAAGACTGGACATCAATCGATATGTCAACGCAGAGAATTCCAATGCTGACTGAAGCAGCAAGAGGAGTGCCATGAAATTGAAAATCGATATACGGGATTTTTAGCAGTAAACTAACGGCCGTGCCCTTTCCGATCGGCTCGATTCATTGGCACTGCGAAGAGATGTTGCATCCCTTTGCATTTTCTTTCGCATCTACCATGGGGAGTGCTCTGAGGAATTGTTCGGATTAATCCCAGCCACCAAATTTCACGAACGCACATCGTGGCAGAACTCTCGATACCATCCACACCATCTACATGATTGGCGGTCCACCACTGTGCGACTTAGAAGATGTTTTCTTCCTCGCACGACTTTCTTGTGGAATCGTTTACCACCGGCAATTTTTCCGGACCGATACGACTTAGGGACCTTTAAGAAAAGAGCGTACTCCTTTTTAAAAGGCCGGCAACGCATCTTCAATTCCCTCCCTGGTGTTGCAGTTGTTCATGGGCGGCGGTAGTCACTTACCATCAGGTGAGCCGCATGCTCGTTTGCTCCCTCTCCTATAAAAAAAAACTTCCTGTCTTCTGAGGGTTAATCTGGACTAGATTTAGTGGTTCCCAATCTAAATCTTTGTTTAACAACGATTCGATTTAGGATACAATTTTGTTCCGGTACTCGGCAAAGTGATCCTGAAAAATATTGCCACGGCCGGTGTAAAAAGCATCACATGTACAGTCGTCCGCAAAGCAATGAATGCTACTGGCAGTTAAACAGCATAGGTGAGAAGACGCAGCCTTGTAGAACACCAGCATTGATAAGCTTGTAGTCTGAGCATGCACCGTCTACTACGACCTTGATGCTCCGATCTGCAAGTAAATTGGTGATTAAATTACACCCAAGACCTCTCCCTTGGACTCTACTGCCTCCACCCATCTATTAGTCAGGTAGTCCAGAAGATCACCAGCTGATCGACCCTGACGAAAACCATATTGGTGGGCACTTATAAGCTGGTGATCCTCAAGGTTCCTAATAAGCTGGCAGTTTTTAATGTATTTTATTATTTTGGAGAACAAGGTGTTGATGGCTATAAGCCTGCAGTGAGACGGGTCTGAATTGTCGCATTTTTTAGGGATCGAGTAGACTGAAACTATCTTCCATGAGATTGGGACTACGCCTTGAGGGTAGGAGTACCAAAAGAGACGCATTAAAACCAGGGCAAACTCGGAAGCACAGATCTTTAGGATAATGAGAGGGACTTCATCAGACTCACTCGACTTGTTGACGTCCAGGGAGAGGAGTGCTTTGCAAACCGAGCGCTGTGTAAGCCGCACATTTGGCATGGAACCGATCATGTTCCTCCCGTCATCAGGAGACGAGTAAGATGCAAAGAGATTGTCTAACAGGTCGGCTTTCTTCTTTGCGTAATGGGCCACTGAGTCGTCCACCATTTGCAGTAGAGGTGGCTGATAGAATTTCCCTTGGACAGCCTTGGCGAAAGACCATAATTCATGGGTTCTCGAAGGAAGACAAACAAGTTTATCACCAATTCTGCCGATGTGCTCAGACTTTGCCTTGGCGATGATTGAAGGATCTGAAGTCGTAAGTATACTTATTTTTAAGAGCGCTGCTGTTTACATTCCGGGACGTTGGTACCTAAGCTCAGACCCTGCACTCCTGCTTATATCGTGATGCTATTTTACAGGAGCGACTAAACCATGGCTGAGTTCTGCCTCCGATGGGTGCCACAGAAGATGGAATAAAAATTTACATACACTGAAGTACCACGCTAGCGAAAAAGTCAGCAGCAATGATGGGATCGTTCGATAAGAAGCAAATCCTCCCCCAAAGGTAGGATTCAAAAAAAGACCGCATCCCATCCTAATTGGCCATCCTATAGTGCCATACACGGTGGCAGGCTGCAGAATGCGACGGTGATGTTAGCGTTAGTGGCATCACGCTCCGGATTTGACAATAGTCCAAGGAGCCAAGAGGGGCACCGACGGAGACTCGTCCGCATGAGGGATTAATAGAAGATCCAACAGGGAAGGTGCATGATTTTCCACAGTGGAATCCACATAGGCGAAGTAACCAAATGTGTCAGATCATATGCCAAGACAAAGTCATAAACATATCTCCCAGCATGATCGGTTAAACGTGCAATAGATTTATACACAAAGCTAGTGTGACAGAGGGACAGATTGAGAGAACTGAGACAACGTTCAAAGGAATCAACCTGACACTAAAATTTGCATTTCAGATATTTAGGGACAAATTAATTGTGTAAAACTGAAAAGAATGTACACAGTATTCTGAAATATTTGCGATAGCGACGAGGTAGATGGTAAAGAGAAATGCGGTAAAAACCGAAAATGAAGCGTATTCAAAAAGTCGATCTAGTATGTTTGGAAGTTCTTAGCCCCCATACTTAATAGTATTAATTTTATTAGGGCTCATGAATGTGGAAATAACAATAATAACTTATGATCATGTATATCTATTGAAAAAGTAACCATATTTAAATACCTGGGTATTTATCTTGACTGCAAATTTAATTGACAATACCAACCATATTAATACAGTATCAGTACGTATTCGCAAATTAGTTTGAGTTTTTAATAAATTATGACAGATTTCAGATATCAATCTATTAAAAACAGCATACTTTACCTTATGCCAATCTATACTCACTTATTGCAACTCGGTCTGGGGAGGAGTCTCTAAAATTATGGTTATCCCACTAGAAAGAGCTCGAAGCTCGATCATCAAGGTAAATTATTTCGCTTCCCTACTAAACATCTTTACTCTGACTGTCAATTATTAACAGTTCGTCAACTTTATGTATTATAAGTAGTATTCTCAGGCAAAATAAATCTACTTTATTTGATCCAAAACTATATAAAATAAAAAGAAGAGCACATAAGTTTCTAAATTTAACACCGCTTTCTCTCATCATTCTACACGGACGGCATTTAGTGTGATAAAGGGCTAACACCTGCAGTCTAAGCCAACGAGCAATGGCAAGACCCAGCAGTACAGAGCATTTCCGGGAGACGGTATAAAAGGAGAAAGAGCTCCACGGCATGTTCTACAAGGCTCTTTGTGAGCCTTTTGTAGACACAGTTGCCTCCCTCCACAGGATACGTTTCGGTGACTTCTTTGGGAAAACCGAGAGTTTTGTCTGTGCTATACAGGATCAGGTTATAAAACCAATAACTATCGAAGATAAATCCTAAAGGATGGCACCGTCGCACCTCCAACTCTGTACAATAAATTACACAGAGAACTAGACATTTTTTCTACTGAATAATTACCTATATAAAAAAGGTTCACGCCTGGTTATTGTCGCTAGATTACGATCAGAGCGAAAAAATCTGTTGATGATAGTAAAATAAGAAAATTAGTTACTGTAATTTTGATTTCTGTTCCTTAATAACCCAAAACATAAAATAAGAAACTCCTAACCACCGGTCAATCACGTTATCCTTCATACATTACCCACATTTAACAATTAAATTTCAACAAAACTTGTCCACTTCCGTCGGGAATTAATAAAAAAAACCGGCCAAGTGCGAGTCTGACTTGCGCACCGAGGGTTCCGAACAAATCCGTAGGTAAAAAATATAAATATATAAAAAATA